GTATTCCATCGTGTAGATATACCACGTTTTCCTTATGCAGTCACCTGTCACTGGTCACTTACGCTGGTTTCATATTTTGGCTATTGTAGATAGATAGAGCTGCAGTGAACATGGGAGTGCAGGTATCGCTTCAACATGATGATTTCCATTCCTTTGGATCTATACCCAGTAGTGGGATTTCTGGATCATCTGGTAATTCTATCTATAGTTGTTTGAGAAGGCTCCATACTGTTTTCCATAATGGCTGTGCTAATTTACAGTCCAACCAAAAGTGTAGAAGAGTTTCCCTTTCTCCACATCCTCACCAACATTTGTTGTTCTTGGTCTTTTTAATACTGGCCAGTCTGACTGGGGTGAGATAATATCTCAGTGTGGTTTTGTTTTGCATTTCTTCGATGACTAGTGATGCTGAGCATGTTTTCATATACAAGTTGGACATTTGTATGTCTTCCTTTGAAAAATGTCTGTTTATCCCCTTTGCCCATTTTTAATTTGGATTATTTGGTTTTTTACTATATAGTTCTTTGAGTTCCTTATATAGTCTGGATATTAATCCCTTGTTGGATGTATAGTTTGCAAATATTTTCTCCCATTGTGTAGGCTGTTTTTCTGTTCTGTTGATTGTTTCCTTTGCTGTGCAGATGCTTTTTGATATAGTCCCATTTGTTTATTTTTTCTTTTGTTGTTTGTGCTTTGGGGGTTTTACTCATAGGCTTAGCCCAGTCCTACTTCCTGGAGTGTTTCCCTATGTTTTCCTTTAGTAATTTTATTGTTTGGAGTCTTATATTTAGGTCTTTAACCCATTTTGAGTTGATTTTGGTACACGGTGAGAGGTCCAGGTCCCATTTCATTCTTCTGAATATAGAAGTCCAATTTTCCCAGCACCATTCATTGAAGAGGCAGTCTTTTCCCCAATGTATGTTCTTGTTGCCTTTGTCAAAGACCTTTACAATTGGCTGTAAGTATGTGGGTTGATTTCACGAGTTTTCTATTCTGTTCCATTGATCCAATTGTCTGCTTTTTAGGCCAGTACCATACTGTTTTGGTTACAATACATTTATAATATAATTTGAAGTTGGGTAGTGTTATGCCTCCAGCTGTACTTTTTTTTTTGCTTAGGATTGCTTTGGCTATTTGTGGTCTGATGGAGTTTAGATGTATTGTCCTCCCAGAACTCATGTGTTAATCTGATCCCCAGTGTGACAGTTTGAGTTGTGGGTGCAGATCCGTCATGAATGGATTAATGCTCTCCCTGGGGGAGGAGGGGTAATGAGTGAGTTCTTGCTCTATTAGTTCCCACAAGAGATGGTTGTTTAAAAGACCCTGGCACCTCCCCTCTCTCTCTTGCTTCCTCTCACCATATGATCTGCTTGTACCTGCTGGCTCCCTGCCACTTTCCACTATGAGCAGAAGCAGCCTGAGGCCCATGCCAGATGCAGCTTTCCCAGAATCATAAGCCAAACCTCTGTTCTTTATAAATTACCCAGTCTCAGGTATTCTGTTATAACAACACAAAACAGACTAATACCAAAAATTGGTACCAGTGGGGTGTTGCTATAGAGATACCTGAAAATGTGGGAGCGGCTTTGGAACTGGGAAATGGGCAAAGGCTGGATGAGTTTGGAGGACTTAGAAGAAGACAAAAAGATGAGAGAATGTTTGGAACATTTAGGGTTAAATGGTTAAATCATTGTGACCAGAATGCTGATAGAAATGTGGACACTAAAAGCCATGTGGATGATGAGGTCTCAGATAGAAATGAGGAACTGATTGGGAATTCAACAAAAAATAACACTTGTTACATCATAACAAGGAACTAGGCTGCATTGTGTCCATTCACTTGGATTTTGTGGAAGGTGGGACTTAAGAGTTGTGTACCAGAATATTTGTTGGAAGAAATTTCCAAACAGCAAAGCATTTAGGAAGCTGCATGGTTACTTTTAAAAGCCTACTCTGAGTTATGGCAGCAAAGACATGATGTAAAACCAGAATTTGAAATGGAAGCAGAGCATAAAGATTTGGAAAATTTGCAGCCTGGCCACATGACAGAGAAGTGGAGAGGAAGAGAAAAATGCAAAGGTGAAGCAGATAAACTGGTTACTAAAGACATCAGCATGGCAATGAGGCAGCCAGATACTAATAACCAGGACAATGGAAAAAAAAGCCCTAAAGGCATTTCAGAAGTCTGAAAGGTCACCCCTCCCATCACAAACCCTGAGGCCTAGAAGGACTGAGTTGTCCTGGAGGACAGACCTGGGGCACAGCTGCCCTCGGGATCCTGCTCCCTGTATCCCAACTGCTCTGGCTGGAGCAGCCCTGCCTCAGGCAGCCCCAAGTGTGGTTCGTGCAGCAGTTCTGGAGACTAGAAGCCTGAAACCTTGGTGGCATCCACATAGTGTTAAGTCTGCAGGTCAGCAGGACTTGAGAGCAGTGAATGCATGGCAGCCTCCACCCAGATTTCAGAGGATGTGTGGAAAAGCCTGGAGGCACAGGTGGAGACCTGCTGCAGGGGCAGAGCCACAGAAGAGGCCATCTACTAGAGCAATGCTGAACAAAAAAGTGGAGTCGGAGCCTCCACAGAACCCCCCCCCCCAGGGACATATCTAATAGAGCCAATGCAGCAGGGCTTCTGCCAGGACCCCAGAACTGCAGGGCCACTGGCAATGTGCAACACTGGTCTAGAAAAGCCACAGGCACTGGCACAGCCCACTGGGCTAACCTACTGGACTGCACTTGGCAGAGCTGTAGGAGTGAGGCTGCCTGATGCTTTGGGGGCCCAGATGCCCCAGTGTGCCCAGGATGTAGGCCTTCAAGTCAAAGAAGATTATTTTGGAGCATTAAGATTTAATGTCTGTCCTGCTGGGTTTCGGACTTGTTTGGGACCTGTTACACCTTTCTTTTGGCCTATTCCTCCCTTTTGGAATGGGAATGTGTACCCAATGTCTCTTCCATCATTGTATCTTGGCAGTAGATAAATTTGGTTTTGTTTTTACAGGTTCACAGCTGGAAGGACTTTTGCTTTTGGTTTCAGATGAGACTTTGGACTTTGGACTTTTAAGTTGGTGCTGGAACAAGCTTAGACTTTTGGGACTGTTGTTGGGAGGCTAGAGATGGAATGATGAAGTTTGGATGTATTATTTCTCTATGGTGAGAAGAAGATACTCCTTCTGTTTATGATAACTAGGTCCTGAAGCTTGTTCTTTGTTAAGTAAAGACGTGATGTAAAGTAATGGTTTTCAATGGATGGGATAGTCCTATGTAGTGCCTCTCTATTGATCTTGGATCCAGGAGTTCCTACAGTTCTCCAGAAGGATGTTTCTGACCAATACATGCTACTTGCTTTATACATTCAGCAAGTACTTAGAGCACCAAATAGGCTCCACATGTTTCTAAAGGCTGTCTATATGAGGTGCAATGTGAGTTGGTACAGTCTGCAGTTGTAGATGAGGTAAAAGAATTTTAGGGGAGAAATAGCTCCTTACTTGTTGCTAGGAAATTGTTCAAGAAAGAAGCCTGAGGAAGGCAGGAGAGTTAACTGGCCAAGGTCCTGATTTTTTGATTCCTGTTTCTTGGCCTAAAGAGGGCCCATTGCATTAGGTAAATGAGGGTAACACTGCAGAGCAGAGGCTTATTCTTATTCCTATTTCTATGTGGGTCTATTCCTATGTGGGACTCTGGAGGCTTCCCTGTATCAATCTGGAGTCTGGAGTGTAGAGACGTCAAAGTCATCTAGGAGTGTGGTGTGGCAGGCAAGGGAGGACTGGAACTTTAACCTCCCCAGATGTCTCAGTGCCTCTCTATTGATCTTGGATCCAGGAGTTCCTACAGTTCTCCAGAAGGAATGTCAAGTCAACTGGGTTAAGCCAAGGACCTTAAATTGGCCTGAACTGCAAAGGAGCCAGGTGACCCTGAAGCACAGGCTGGGTTGGAACAACAGCCACAGTACTGAATGCAGGATGCAGTTGAAATTGAGAGAGAATCAGCCAGAGAAGACTTCTGGGTCTTGATCAAGCTGAGTGAAACCAGCTGGCCGAAGCCTCCAGCAGTGCGTGCCAGCAGGTAAACAGAAGCCACACTGAGCATGGCCAAGAAAAACAGAGAACTCTTAGACCGAGGACTCTGACCTTCTCTACCAGGAGGTAACAAAGACCACAACCCTCCAGTCACTGCCTTGGAGAGGAACTGGGAAGGGGTGGAAAAGAAGTCTTACAATTATTGGATTTCATCAACTTTACAACTTGATAGGGTTAAAACTATTTTTCCTTCCATCGACTAGTTATTGGGGGCTCTTGATGAAGCCATGATAAATGACTGAAAAACGAAGGAGTTATACTTTCTGGACCCATACAGCTTACAGTGTGAGTGAAATTCCACTCCACTATGTATTTTGAATATTCTGATATTCAGTGCCTTCCATCCTTCATGATTCTTTGAAGATGAGGTCTGAGATTTCAGTGCCTAATCAAATTATAAGAAATGGGCTTTGAGTAATCCTTTTTGCATCTCCATCACCCTCGGGGAGAGGTGACATACCCCCATCCTTTGAACCAACCCAGCTCTATCTCCCCCAGCAAATCTGTACCACTACCACTACCACAAACTTTCAAAACATAGGTCACTGAGTCACTCACAGACATAGTGAAAATGGAAAGCTGAAGAAATTACACAGAGCTTGCACTACTGTGTCTATCTGGAACAAAACCATGGCACTATACCCAGTTGATACCATAGGATGCATTTGCAAGTGAAAGTCTTTTCCTACACAAGCCATTCTACAAAACTCAATAAGATGACTGCTCCACCAGATGCACAGATAGAAGCACAGGAAAACAGGATAAATGAAAGAAAAAAAAAAAAAAACCAACATTAACCAGAATAATTTCTTATGATTGGAAGCTATCTTAAAGAATGGAAAGGTAGCATTTACCAGGTAAGGCAAAGCAAAGATAAGGAAGAGACTGAAACAAACTCTTGAGGAAGGGACAGCGAGGGAGACTTACGGTTCTGTAGAGTCTGAGTCACTGGCAGGAAACAGGACAACAAGTAGCATGAACCACAAATGCGGAAGTCTGTCTTTCCCCATAGTGAGGAACAAGTCTCAGGGCTGTGCCCAACTCCTTGCTCTCAGCCTGGTCCTAAGACTCCCCAGGCTTCCCAGGCTTTATGAGGCTGCTGTTTGCAAGCAAGCCCCAGCCCAGGGCCTCAGACTGGAGTTCAGAGTTGAGCACAGATTCTAAAAGCATCATTGCTCTCAGTGATTACCTCATTAAGCTCAAGGCTAAATTCTGACAGGCTCTGAGGCATTTCTAAAGGATAACAATTATATTCTAGTTAGAATGAGCTTTGACAGCAAAGCTCCTGGTGGGGGACCTTCAGCCCACCTTTCTCCATCTCCTTCAAAATCCTTATAAGCAGGTGACACAGGAAGCTGTATTCGAAGGTCATGGGACTGGTCTCGATGCTCCTCCAATTGAGGGAGGTGTCACTTTAGGGAAATTACTCAACAGTGAATTGAGTATACGGTCCTGAAAGAAAATGATTCAAAACAGGGGCCTGTGGTGGGGGGAGGGGAAAATGAAAGAGATGTTAGGAAAGAAGGTATCAAAAATCATCTTTGCCTATTTCACAGCAGTGGTCTGGTCAGACTCGAATTGCTCCTATTTTTTCTTGCTACTCTCTGGACACTCTAAAGTTTGAGTCTCTTAAACAATGCCATTCACTTTATTCAAGAGGTTTTTTTTTTTTTTTTGAGCCCTACTGTGTTGTAGGTTCTGGTCTGCTTCAGACACTTTCATCAACTTTCTTTCTCTTTCTTCATATTTCAGCCTAAATATCTCTTGTCTGGAGACCCTGTCCCAACCATTCTGCTGTAAGTAGATGCCTTCTGCTGTGGGTTGATTGAACTGTGTCCCAAAAGATCATACCTTAGAAGCTAAATGCCCACTGTAACTGTTGAGGGTGAGAAATAATGGAAATTAAAAGGTCGGGCCTTGGAGAGGCAGTCAGATTGTAGGACCACACCGTAGTGAATGGATTAACAGTGGTGGTCAGCATTGTGGTTCTAAGGGCTGCAAAAGAAGAGCACGTGAGAGGTTAGTCTCTCTCTGTGCCACCATTTTCTGCCATGTGACACTCCTTTATTGCTGTAAAGCCACCACCAAAGAGATCCCTCATCAGCTGTGTTCCCTATGCTATGGAGTTCCCAGCCTCTGAAATTGTAAGCAATAAATTTTGTTTTCTTTATAAATCACCCAGTTCCAGGTATTGTGTAATAAGCAACAGAAATGGTCTAATCCACCGTCCTTCTTATCTTTATTTCAGACCTTTCTTTCTTTTATTACATTACCATAGAAGAAAATAATTTGTATTTTAACTATGAAATGTTTCATATATACACTCACAAATATAGAGAAAAAGATACAAAACCCACTTGTACCTACCACCCACCCAAATTTAACAAAATTAAAATTTTAACAAATTTGATCATTTCTTCTTCGGAAATAAAGCATGACAAGTATGATTGAAGTCCCTTTTGTAATCCTCTCCAATCTCATTTCCTTCCCAATGTTGTTAGATTAGGAAGTAAATATGTATCCTTCAAGTCATGTTTTTATAACTTTACTGCACATATATATATAAATAATATATATAATTGTTTTATGTTTTACATTTTATAAATGTAAACTGTGTGTACATATCATTGCAAAGTTTGCTTTTGTCACTTTTACACTTTTAAGACATTCACAATGATACTGATGATGTAATTTATTAATTTTAATGAACATCTATATGGCTTTCCATTGTATGAATATGAGTATAGCAAAACATGTTACTCTTTTCCCCTATTTTTTTTTTCCTTTTTCTCTTTTTTTCGTGTCCAGCAACGGATCGCAACCCTTAGTGTCGCGCCCATACCGGACCTGGACCGGCCACGGGATCGCAACCCTCGGTGTTGCTCCCACACCTCGCTCAGCCAGTGAGCGGGAGCCGGTCTGTATGTGGGATCCGAACCCTCGGCGGGAGCGCCACCGCGCTCCCAAGCGGCGCACTGTAGCAGTGCGCCACCGGGCCGACCCTTTTCCCCTATTTTTGAACTTTTGATTGTTCATATATCTTTTATTTTAATAAGTTTTTTATTGTGATAAAATACACATAACATAAATTTATTATATTAACCATTTTTAAGTGTACAGTTTAGTGATGTTAAGTATATTTGTAATGTTGTGCTTTAATCAACACCATCCATCTCCAGAAGTCTTTTTCTTTTTTTATTTTATTTTATTTTA